TTTTAAATCTCAACGGTGACACTTTTTTTCTCCTCTCTAACTTTGTTTATTATACACGTTTCCATGAGAGGATGGTGATGGAAATTGTGACATGTCTGCCAGTTTGTCTGTTGATTATGTTTATGTGACTAACTTTGTAAAGGGAAATTTGAATTGATTTAGTTGACAAATGAGTGCGAAATGAGTGAAAGAAACGTGATGTGAAATGACAGACATCTGGTAGCGGATTTGTTTAAATTACTGGATGATCTGTTTAATTAAGTGAAGTCATAAACTTATAACGTCATTAAGATAATTGCCGGTTAATTGATGAGATTCCGGCTGTAATGAGGGATTGCCTTTAGATTTTCACTTTTCTTTTACGACTGTTTTTGTTGGAGATTGGATGTGAATTTGTCATTTAAATCATTTATGCAATGATGTTGTCACAAACCAATAAAATTGCTCTCAAGATTCTTCATCTTCCCCTTCATTAATTTTTAAAAGTACTAAGAACTGCCTACAAAGTCATTTCTTTGGATTAAAACATCTGCAGTCTTTTTAAAAAGTGAAAATCATAATAAAATGATTTTTACCAACAAATAAAATTTCTACACCACAAGTTTATTCCACATTGTTCGTGACTAATTCTGAGCTTCTTTTCGAAATTTTCCATGCACTCACAAAAATCACAGTGAATGTCTGCACAATCTCAAAGAGATATTCTCATAAAAATATAAACTGCAGTTGTGCTACGCCTGTAGATTTTATATTTTTCAACATAATTAGCTTCAAAGGACTCATACAGATAAAAAATTGACCTAAAAAGAGCTCTAAAGCATAACCACATAAATTCAAGCATTATCTTACTCAGCATAATTTTTATATCCCATATGATCCAAATACTTTTATGACTGTGAACAGCTGAGCAACCCAGAAACGACTTTTTCGTGTTATCTGAGTCATTTCTAATGCATTACTAACTTTCAACAACCAGCTCACGTTTGTTTTTAACAATAGAAGAAATGCGCTGAAAGTCATCAAAACGTATGCAATGGCTTCCATGTGTTCCTCATTTTCGTTTAAAATATTAAGCTGCCACACACAATCTCAACCTGTTTCTATGCTTTTCTCTCGTCTAAGAAATACGTTTTTACTATTTTTTGTTTTTGTGGGTCAAGAAGCATTTATGCCTGGAGGTCAAAGTCGATATCAGAATAAGAAGAAAGGCAAATTGTATGATTTTTTTTCTTACACTTTTATTTGCTCGACTTTTATTCGATTTCCGTACTGCGTGACTATAATTAATCACTCGTGCATAACAAGAGCAATTGTCATAAAGTTTCTCTCATTTTCGCACACAAAAAAAATCTCTCTTTTTTATTTTTCCTCTGGTGATGATGAAAACTTTCATCACTTTTCATGTATTGCTATCAATAATCTGCGTATTTATTCATTTTTTAATGTTTATCTCTACTAAAAAAGATTTAGATGATTCCACTACACCCATGAACTCAATATAATTGTCTTTTTATGATCGCATATAAAATATAATCTTTTTTGATCTTCTTACAAGCAAATACAGCTCATATCAAGTCATATTTCATCTTAGTAATTTTCCTTGCAATCAAAATTTTCGAGTTTTTTCACAACTTGTTGGCTGAGGAGTGTTTTGCATGTCGATGAAAAAAAATTATAGCTGTTTATTTTCTTAATCACACGTTTCAAAAGGCACCTACTTTAACAGAACAAGAAGCTATTAATTTTTTTTTATAAATGAATGATCAATTTTATTGTCAGTCATTTTGTTAGAAAATTATTGAAATTCCTTTGATTGAGTTCCTGGATTCTTTACAGCTGCATATTGAAATTTTGACAAACTTAGAATACTTTTGGGTTTGGATGGATCGAAGCCTTTTTTATATTAACAAATCTTTATCAATTCAGCAGCTCCAGCAGCTTGTTTCGTTGTCAATAACAAATGATCATTCAATTTTCTATGATTAAATGACATTTATAAGGACATACTCTAAACACGTGGACATCCAAAGTACTCTTGGAGAAAAGCTGTTGACAGAGACAGTATTACACTTGGTATTGATGATTGGCAAGCGGTAGCCTGCGATAGAGCCAGCTTCAGGTGCCATCTAAGAGATCTAAGAGGTGCCATGGATCACAATTGATCTGTACGGCCTGAGAAGGAAGTAAGTAAGTATTCTAAAAATACTGACTAAAAGCACATTATATTTGAATAATAAATCCAAAAAAAAATCTTCTGTTCAATTTAGAACCTCTTAAAATTTTAAAGCTACTGTCAGTACTGTAGATTAAATTCTCAGTCTAGTTCACAACTGCTATTTAGCAAACTTGTTTGAATACAAATTAGCTAACTTAACCGCATTGTAAAATATGCACTTTATTTGCATACTTATTTAATTGCCACAATTTTTATCACTTAGTAACTTAGTCGTTTCCGTACTGAAATAGTTAAAGGTTGTTGCTCTATTTTGTTTTTGAGATTTAGATAAAAACCAAAAGTTTTGCTTTATAAAATGACAAAAAAATAATTCTACAAATTGTATAATTTAACCCTCAGTTCCTTAAATCATGCAGCAAAACTCAAATAGCCAAAGGATACAGCATCGCAAGGACAAATCATTACTTAAACCCTCAAAAATGCTAAATTGCACTCAATTAAATAATTCAAATTTATTTTAATTTTATGCATAATTTGAAACATGCTCGTTAATTAGCAGCCTAAAGGAGGAGTCCGACATTTTTCACAGACATCCCACATAAAAGGATATAATTAATTCATTTTTTTGTATGCGCGAAATTAAGCATAATAGCTGCTAATTAATAATTTTTTTATCCATAGTCGAAATGGAAAGAAATTTTCCACAGCCATAAAAAGTGTTAAAAATTTCTAAATTCACAGCTATGCTAGTGAAGTTTTCACGAGTTGATAATCCAAAAAAACATAAATGAGGAAATGAGAGGAAAAAGAAAAATAAGACTTTTTTTTCGGGTGGGTAAACAGTGAATTATGAGGAATAATTAGGAAAATGCTGTACATTTTTCGAATCAAGCACATCGAAAGATGTGAAATCATTTCTGTCGTATAAGTGCCATTGCATACATTTTCGTGCATGAAAAGATTTTCATCGCCAATTTAAACATTTGAATTGCCGCAATTTGAATTCAATGGATGGATTTTTTTTTGAGAATGAATGAATTGCTGACTTGTAAAGGTGTGATGTAGCTACAAAATTGCATATTTCTCGTTATCTGTTAACTGTACATCATCACTAGTAACAGTATGTTCAATATTATTGCAAGTTCTATGACTAATGTCTACAATTTTCTCCTCATGTTGTGCTATATAGTTTTCCAATCATCCATGATAACTTGCTAATTTTACAGTATCTATGCCCAATTTGAAAAAATGCTGAATACTCGAAAATTTGCATAAATTCTCAAATTTCTGTTGATTTTTACATGAGCATTGCAAATTCTATGTCGAAAATAAGAACGCAAAAATAATAATGAAAATTGCTTGGAAAGTGAAAAACAGCTTTCGATCGAGGCGAAGAAAAAAGAGTTTCTTGTTACCTCATTGTTGCTCCCCATGTGTAATTTTCAATCATTATTTTTATTATTTTTCGTGATTATTGTTTCTTCACCAGCTTTACTGTTCTTCTCGTTTCACTACTGTGTGAGATCTGTATTTCGTCTAATGACAACCATAAACCTGCATGCATACTGTATTGTAATCAATGAGTAGCAATTTTTTTTGTGGAACACAAACACGAAAACCAAGCAAGTAATTTGAGGCAAAATTGATGTAGTTTTTTTTAAGAGAAACCACAAAAGAATGAAATTTATATAATTTTTGCATGACTTTTCCACTCTTTTCATGTCTTGACTGACTTGTAGAATTGAAATTATCAAAATCGAAGCTGTAGTGTGTATTAAAAGAAACTGATGCCAGATCTGAATGAAATTGTATTGGGAGATGAAAAATAACTTGTTCATCAAGTCTTGTTAATCTGACTGGTTAATATGGCGCATTTATTTCAATTTGTGACTTGATGTAAAGTATGCGAATAGACTTGGGAATGAAATTGCTGATTAAGGGAGGCTTGTTTTATGTTTTTGGTATTCAATATCTAATGTTATTGCTTGTGGTTATTTTTATGAAGCTGTTGGGTTTTTTGATTTGCCAAAGCTCTAAGGGAACCTTTTTGCGAAAAACGTGCTGATTCTTCGTGTCTAATAATAGAGCTCTTATTCTTAGAACATCTTAGAAATTTTGGTTAAGTGGTGTATATTTACTCATGAAGATTTACTGTCTGGCTTTAAAGAATTCAATGTATTTTTTGGTAAGATTGCTGAAAATTAACCATAATTTTCATTCTGAGTTTCAGATGGACTTAAAGTTATACTTTGTGGAATGATTCAATCAGAATAAAATCCAAAAGTTTGTCAAAATTATCAAATTTGCTAATAGTTCACCAAACCTAGACCATAAAGTAAAACACATGCCATTTTGCCTCACCAAGTTGCAAAAATTGGAAACCAGAACATATTTTAAACTTTCTAAGAAGCTGCCGGTTAATTACACATAAATTATCATAAAAGACGTTTGCCAGCACTCATATCGCATGAATAACTGCACAACTTCCTTGAGAAAATCCGCTCAAACCAGCATCAAAAGGCTAAGAGAAGAAATGTTCAGAAAATGACGTCACATTGACTCAAACATATTAATTTTCCTTTCCTCATACATATATTATAGTCTACTAATATATTTTTGTACATCTGAATATAAATCTGAATCCGTCGATCAAGTGTCGATGGACCTTGATGGTATGAAAACATATGTGTGTGGCGTACAGTAGAAAAAATATAAGCGATTTTTATTTTTATACTATTGGGACATGTGCACACAATGTGATGACTGTAAACGTAAAGAGATGCTGGGGAAAGTTAAATAAATGGACAATATTATTGATACTCACCCTAAAGACGCTTAAGAGCTAGTTGGTATGGTAATATTATAAATTTGAGCTAGTAATCTCCTCCTATATGACTAATGGTTTTAGCTTCTACTGAGAATTCATTTGACTGCATAAAATTTTGATTGGATTTTTTTCTTTTATCTTTGTAAGTTTTTTCACTTTGATCATACACTATTTCTGCTTTTGTGTTATATATCTCGTCTTCTTTTTTCACTCAAAAAATACAGACACAGACGCTTTCGTCAGTTGTAATAATTCTTTCTTCTAATCTAAATGAACTTATTATTTTTTCCTTCTGTCATAAAAGAACATGGAATTATGTTGGTTAATAATTCATAACAAACGCACGCACATAGTCACTGACTGGTGCAACTGAACTTTATTTTTTAATGATAATTAAAGCTTCTCTAAGCTAGCACATGTCTCTATTAATGTTATATTCTATCTCAGGATGATATTTGTTATGGACTAACTTAGTTACATATCTCATGAGAATCAAAGACGTACGAACGTATAGTCGAGAGGAAAGGAAAGGAAGAAAAATATGATAAGACATATTGTGCAGAATCTTAATTATCTTATACTGACATACAAAAAATGGCAAAAGTTTGGGATGTGTCGGTGGTGCTTTTGACGCATTTTGGAAGTTTAACTTTGTTCTGCTAATTTCCCAATTGGATTTTTTATTTTCTTGAAAATTGCCGTACTGTTATGACTCTCAATATTTAAGGAGGGGTTAGAACTCAAGTTTAAATTTTCAATGTGCTGAAGAATAAAACCTTATAAATTGTTGTTTAGGGAGAAATAATATCTCAATGACCTCCTTAAAAATAATCGTCTTTGTGAAATTTAAGAGTCATTTCATTATTTTTAAAAATGATAATCTTTAATGACGTATAGGCTATTAAAACCTGATTCAATCTGCTAAAAATAATTTCAATGACTAACTCAATAAAACTCAATTTTTGTTTTTCGATAGCTTAATGATCCAACCATTCTCATATTTATATAATTTTTTGCTTCAATCTCGACATAACCTAAATTTTAAAAGATTCTTATTCTTAATACAAAAACACATTAATAACTACGATGATATCCAAACAGACATGCAGATTGCTCTCAACACAAGTAATTTCTCACATAAAACACAGCTAAGACTAAAAGAAATTTGTTGTATAAAATAAAAGCTCGTAAGGAGATGCCAATGGTAGAGCATTATTATGCTATATTTTAAGTTAATTATTAAGCCGTTTGTCAAGTCATTTGTGCTAATATTTCTTCATTTATTGTCATCTCAAGATGGCAGATGTTCTTGTTTCCCTTGCACAGTCAAAAAAAGTATGAGAAGATGATGATTTTCATTCTTTTTTACCGGCAACTTTCGTAACTCTCGTGTTTTAATATTCCAAAATTGTTCGGAGTGTGTGTAGATGAAATATATATTATTTTTGTACCTTCCCTTACATTTGAAAAACTAAGCATATAGGCTCGTTCATTCCCACAGCTTTTGAAAAATTTAAATTGTAATTACATTGAAAGACAATTACACAAAAGAAGTGAAGAGAGGAGCAATAAGAAGATTTTAGACACTTTTTTTTTAATCAAAAGACTCTCGCTTCTTTCTAAGTCACAGTCTGTTTCTTAGTATCAAGATGTATTCCTCAAAAATAAGAAGGTTATACACGATTCTGTTTTTTTTTTGTGAATATAAAATCTTTTTAGCTGTGTGGTATTGAACAACATGATGTTTAACACACATACACGTCCGCACTCAAAAAGCTGTATGTACATGGTAAGCATATATCAAAGAGTCAGACACGACAAGTTTTGGGAAATATATATAAATGTACAATGGAAAAAGAGAAAATTATAGAGATATTAACGGATGTTTGGAACTAAATTAAGCAGATTATTTGTATGACAAATAATTATTTCTAAGAACCGAACGTATTGTACGTGGTAAAATTTAGACTTAATTGCACTTAAGATTCCATAACAATAAAAAAAATTGTATTCTACAATTGTCAACTAAAATTATCTTGTACGCGGCTTGAGAAACAAGATTTATTAAAAAAGTGAATGACCAAACGCCTTGACGGTATTTAAAATTGACATGGAATTTTTGAGTGGCTAATTGGAAGAATTTTTGACTGTTGACACGAAGGAACAAATGTGTATAATTAATTTTTTGATGATCGACACCAAAAGTTTTTTCATCGCCTCTCAAAATGGTCAGAAATTGGATAGCCAATAAAAATTCTGATATACAACCCCACTGTTATCCTATCACTATTGTGTCACACGAGCTGATATGATGACAATATTCTCGTCTTTGATAGGAAAATAACACGAAACTTTGTAATGTTTACGGACATCATCGGCCACAGAAAAAGGCAATCAAGTAGACAAAGCATGAGAATGATTGGATTTAATTATTTCACAACCAGTCAGCGACTTAATGATTCACAAACACTATCGCATTTCCAATATATATTTCAATTACACTTCTTTCTTCTGAATTCTTAAAACTTGATTCTTTCCTTATTTAATTTAATAATAAAAAATAAATCATCTGTTCTTATTTCTTTACCTTCTTTTCTTGAATCGAGAAAAGAACTAAAGAAATTTTTTTTTATTCGCTAAGAAATTTTTCTCCTTACACTTGATAAGTTTTCTTTTATAAATTATTTTCAGTTAATTAACTGACAAAATTTAGTAGAAAAAACTTTATAACGACTTTAGATTGCAGCACGAAAACGTCCGAATTACGTGAAGGCATGGAAAAGACTGACTGTATAAAAGAATATTGTGTAACATGAAGCACAACGTTCAAGTGGAGGAGAATTTCTTGAGTGAGAGAAAATGAGAGAATTGTGAGACAGAAGTTTTGGTGTGAGAGGTGAAAATTTAGAAAATTTACGATTTTGTAGCTTTTTTGTATGAAAAATTGTTAATCTTTGCATTTTCTGGACTTTGGAATCAATTTTCTAGCATTTCTAGTCAAAATTATAAAGAATTAATGCTTTTAATTATGATAAAATCACAAAAATAACAATTTTACATTAAATTAATAATAACGGTCATAAAAAATTCAAACTAGCTTTACAAAAACCTACAAAATTCTACATCTCTCAAAACATTAAATGAAAATGCATCACAGAAAGAAGGTTTGTGTCTCGACTTGTTAAATTTTTACCTACTAAAACTTTTGATAATTTACTTTTCTTAAAATATCTTAAAAGTAAGTGCATTTGTTTTTAAAAATTGAATTAAAATGTTATAGAATTAAAATTAGTAACAAAAGTCTCAAAAAATTGACGGCATTAAGACAATTTAAGACAAAAATCGTGATTATCACGTAAATTGTTCCTATATTTCCAGCCAAAAAGCATTATTTTATTTTTGTGTTATGCTAAAGATAGGAAAATAATAATCACATTTTTCTTTTCATCACTCCCGCTCTTTCCAATCTCTCTCTCTTGTGTCCCTCTCACAAACAAATACAGCTACAACTTCTCACTCATAAAAACACCGTAAAATCAATGTAGGGAATGAAATTGAAGAAAATAAAATTGACTCTCATTCGCAAGTCAGCTCTTGTCGTGTGAGATTGTGTATTTGTTCATTTTTTTAATTTTTTTGTGTTTGGGTGAAGCGACCAAAATAAATCATTGAGAACATTTTTTTTATTTTTCTTGTCAATGAGATGATAAATAAATGCGCTAAAACATTGGATTAATAAGATTTTTCATTTAGAAATGTTTAGTGTCTAAATCATAAACCATCATTAAGCATACAGGAAAAAGTGTAAATTCTTCTTTGTGTTTTTCTTTTCGGTGGAATGATAAAAGAATAAAAAAAAAGCGAAAGAGCGAGAGAGAGAACAAAATGGAGTCGGGATAATTTAGTGTGTTTAAGAACGACCATAAGCATTAATCGACAGTTTTTATCATGAAATGCATAGTTGAATGATTATCAAGTCGACTTTAATTCATCATTTCATCATCATAGTTCAATCTAATGTAATTTTTTGAGATTTTTAATTTTTCACCCAAGCTACGATCGCTGAGATAGTTTGGATTAGTTTATGACTATCGGAAACAGACAGATTTTTTTCGACCATTTTTTTTCTTCTTCAGACAGAATTTTTTTATTTTATTTCTTTTTTTGGGAAGAGAAAAATTGTTCTGTTAAATTTTTTTCTGTTTTATTGAACATTTTTTCCATCACCTTGGGTTGATTTTGTCAGAAAAATGTGACGATACTTACTGATTGTATAAGAAAATGTTTGTTTGTTTTGAGATTTTTTTTTTATCATTTCCTCTTGTTGGCACGTCTGCAATAATTAATTTATCAGAAATCTGTGTCTAAATTCTGACGATTTTTTGCGTGATTTGATTGTTTATCAAATGAATTTTGGGGGTCTTCATAAATGACGTCTTCCAAGAATTAGAATTTTTTGAACCCCCTTGCACTTCTATCATAAAGTATTCATAAGCAAAATACCACCTCCCCCCCCCTTTAAAATATTGCACGTCATAAGAGCAAGCCTCCCCGAGAATAAACAATATCCAAGCATATTTCCTGACAAAATCCCCACCAAGGCATGACAAGAAAGTCAAAACAGTCTTTCACACCCATTTCCAATTGCAAAACTCTCAGCAATAACCCAAACGAGTTTCTAATGATGTAATTTTTTTCTATTTTATTTTCTTTTACTCTTCAATAAATATAGTTAAGCAACATATAGCAAATTCTCATATTACTCGGTATTATCATGCACTATATATGGTTCAATGTCTATAAATAAGTTCATTGATAAAAAAAAAATGAGAAAAAAAAATTCAGCACAGCAAAAAAATAAAGTTATAAAGTGAATTTTAGAAAATGATAGTTTTGTGTAGATGAGAAAGAAGCCAGAATAAAAGGAAAAGAAAAGAAGAAAAAAATCAATTGTACATGTGTAACGTATAGTGTTGGTGATTAATATTATCAGAAATTAAGTAGTGTGAGTGCTCTTGTAATAAAAATAGATAATAATCGTAAAACAATCAAACAAAAAGTCGAGTCACAGAAAATAATAAAAATCAATTGTAAAAATTTCTTTCCCTCCTTTTTGCTACGATGAAATTCTGTGAATGTTAATATTCGTACATAATAAATACAAATTAGGACTAAAACAAGAATAATATTTGCTAATCACTACTCGAGAGAAAAAAAAAGTCGAGTGTATATAATAAGAAGTCTATTAGAATTAATGAAAGTGAATTCGTGTGCTTTTTTTTCTTATTACTACAACTGGAATCAAAAAATCAGCGAGAACTGTGGAATCAGTTTTGCAAATAGAGGAAAAATTACATAATTCTCAAATGTATATTTGAGAAAAATGCCTCACATGATGCAAACTACGGCAAAACAGCAATCTCAGAAACAACAGCAAGGAAAAGGATCGCTTCAACTAAAGGAGATTTCTATAATACCAATAACAGCTGCTCCTGTCAATAACCAAAATTCTCTCGTTGTTGAAAAAGCCACAAACTCTCATCAATCAATGGCTGATGATGACTCGGCCGAGTTGTTAAGGAAGAAACGTTGTACGGATAGATACGATTCTTCTGAATCATCTGACAGGTAAATATTCATTCTTAGACTTTTTTTTTCATGCTATGATTTTACTAGCGACGAACATTTTACTGAATTTGTTCCCTTGGGAGAAATTTCATCAAAATAATTTTTGAAATGGATATCGATTTTTATGATCGATATTGACGACGATGTTTTCATTTTTGATGTTGATGTCAGGATGTATTTGAAAACACAAGATGTTACACACATTATTTACGTGGATTTAACACCTTCATATGCATAATAAGTGTGGTTTATGAGTTTATTGATCTTGTAGGATGAGCAGTCCAGATTTATTACTACATACATGGAATCCTCTCATTCAGTCTATCACAATGCCTAACAATGTTTAATGATATCCTTTAAAAACTTTCCACCCTGAAATAAATTCAACTTCAGATCCTAAAATATAAAATCTCAACAAGAAGTAGGAATTTCAGAATAACGAATTGACTTAATGTTGACCACACTTCAAGAATTGAAAAATGCAATCGACAACACACACAAAAGGAAATGAATAACCTCAAAAACTTTTTTTTTCTTCTCATTATATTCTTTTCATTCTTCTCCGTCTGATTCTTGAATAAGTAAGATGATGTCTGCTGAGGGCAGCAGATTCTTTACCATTTAAATCAATCTCGTTCTGTTATTCATAGTTCGATGGTTGTATGTTGTATGATGAGGCACTTGTGATTTAATTTAATTAGATTTTTATCAATTCAATAGATCTTTTATTGACTTGATAGATTCTATTAAGTTTGCTGAAATGATTTGTTCGGTTGTTACTGGAACTAGAATAGAAAATTTGACTAAAGTTTCAACATATTCTCAAGCAATTAACACTAATGAGGCTTACGTACAATTGGTAACTGTTTATGAAAGTTAAAAAACCCCAAAGTCTGACCAATAACAATTCATGGCTGTAATAGACACCCTGAACGTAAAAAATAATAATAGCAAATAAATAAATAGTAAATATTTATGACTTTTTGCTGGCTGATTCATTCACGAAATAAAAAATATTAAATTAAGAAGAGTGAAACAACAATGTGGCAGCGTCGAGCTAATATTTCAAGTCTCAAACAGGTGAATGGACCAAAAGCAAGCAAGTCAATGACGAAAAAAATAGCACTGAACTTGACCGCAAAAACACATTTAAAATAAACGGCAAATCTTTGCAGCTCTCTTGCAAAAAACCAGACGTCGCGGATATAATTTTCGGCATTTTTTTTGTGTCTTTTGTTTGTTTCGGTTTTTTGATGATTTCTTTTCGCGCTTTATTAAGAATTCATCATTTCTATTTCTTTTTTTATTTTGTTGGTCGTGTCAATATTTGATAATCCTAATGCTATTGCTTCTTCTTATTAATCTGCTTTCATTCGAAACATCATCCCAAAAAAGAATGAAAAAAAAAAATCTTTCTAAATGAGAGAATAGGAATGTTGAAAGCAATAAGAATAAAAAAGAAAAAAAAAACCAGTTTTTGAGTCATTTCAAAAATATGAGTAGATAAAAAAAAAATATGCCTTGTGAATGTGAGCAGAAAGAAATTCTAAATGAAAATCACGTATGATATGTGGATGGATGTGGGCACTCGAAGCGCATAATTTTGACAGAGATTAAGTGATGAGGGCATTGGTTGGGTTAGTTTCTGAGAATTTTCCGAGTTGATGTGAATCAATTTTTTATCATAGTCTAAGCTTAACAATGATTTAACTTAGAATGTAATGAAGGGTTTTGCTAATAGCAAAAGCGGCACTGCGATCCTCATTATTTATTAGGATTATTTATATCCTCATCGTTCAAATAGTCCTCATCAAAATGATTTAACTTAATTTGTTAAGAATTTTTTGAAGAACCTTAAAATTAAAATTTGTATTGCTTAGTATGAGCAAAGAATCGACGATTTAAATATTAATACATCCCAGAAATTGAAGAATATCCTTTAAACCCAAATAGCAAGTCGGCTAGTCAAATATAAATCCGGCACAAAGTTGACGTATGTAACTCTGGCATGACACTGGACCCAAATCGAATCCTGCACAATGCCAGAGTTACGCCAGCTTGGTGAAAGATTTGTATTCGATTAAACGACTTGTGCTATTCGAGAAAGTTATCTCAAGGCTGACACTAGTGATTTCACTCCTAAACCACTTAGATACTCTATCTGGTTCGTGATTTAAATCCTAAATGCTATTCAAAATATCAAAAAAATTCAAAATCAGACAAACTGATTCCATTTTTAGCTATCATCCCAAAGAGTACGTTCCTGAAAATCGAAATTCTTCGCAAAAAAAATCGAAAGAAAGAAAGAAAAAAAAGTATATTTTATGTATTGGCGGACGGATATGATGATGCTTTGAACGAGAATGAGAAAGAACAGAAAAGAAATCCATTGAAATGTGGACTGGCAATACACATGTTTACCTGGAATATTCTCTCTATTCCTCTTTACCTCTCTTACCTCTCTTCTTTCTTTTATTAGATCAATGTTTAGGCTTCTGTACATTTCTTAAATTACATTCCCCCCGAAATATACTGTGCAGCCATTGAGAGAATTCAGTTAGAATTTTCGAGGGATTATTTTTTGAGAATGTTGAAGGTTTCTAGAATGTGTAAAAGGTTGCTCTTCAAAGTAAGCATTAGTCCCTAGAGATTTCTAAAATCTTTCAAACTTTTTTTTATTATTATTCTATAACCCAAGAATTCTGACAAAATGTCTACAAGAACATTGGGCATACTTAACCATTCTAAAGGATGAAAAATGAAAAATTTTAAATTCAGTTCTGAATTTTTTTTTCTTTCTCTCGTTTTTCGCTCCAAGCAAAATCAAGCAAAATTATTCAAGTTATACAAAAGCTATTACGATAACGTACGATTAAATCTTTTGGGTTTATAATTTCTGAGTTTTATGTTCTTGAATGTGCTTGAAAATACAACAAAAAAATTTTATTTAATAATCTTGAAAGGTTTCACACAAAAAAAAAACAGTTTTACAGCAAAAGTCCATGTTGAGGAATTGAGTTTAGAAGTTGATGGAAAAATTTCGTCAAAGGATTGTTCCGACAAATGTTTATTTGACTTAATTTTGTGTGTGTAGATATCTTATTTGCCAATCTATGTGGTTTTTTTGTCGTATGGAGAGTCATATGGAATTTTTTCGACGACATTTTTAATGAAAATTCCTGATTATTAATCCATACTAAAATTTCTACGTAATGAGATTTATACAGGAATTTACAAGTAAAAATTGTTTGCGTACGAAAATAATTAAAGCTGTAGGAAAAACCATTGAAGATTTTCTCCAACAATACTTAACGTTCATCATCACTGCTACCTTCAAAGCTAAGACGTTAAGTGCGAAAATATAAATCTAACCACTTTCAAAGCATTCATCCTTTACTTATGGTTAGAAAATAAATAAATTTTGAATTCTCAAGGAAAAAGAACTTTAAAACTTTCCATTTCGTGATATCAAATACTTAAGTACATTGAAGGTTTGAAGGATGCAGAAAAAAACATTATTCTTGATATAGAACTTGAATCATTTATTTATTTCATAAATGTAGCTAAAATTCAGACTTGGAAGTTGTGTGGTGTACCACATGTTCATACGAAAATACCACAAACTTATCGTTAATTTTGATAATACATTTATAAAAAGTTGTCTAGAATTCAGTAGAATTTTATGAACAAATTATTATGAATTACAAACTGGATCATTTTTGGATGAATTTTTGTGCTGCTTGAAAATTTTACAAAATATGAGGCTAAGATTTCAATATTGTGTAAAACTTATAATAACATTCGTGTTTACTTGTACACATTTAGTTATGGCAATAAATTTTTATCTAGATAACATTGAGGAGTTCATGCGAATTGTTGATATAGTATGGGTGTAAAATTTAGGTACGGTGAAAGGCATTTCTTAAAATAACGAACCTTACTTTATAAGAAATATGAATTATTGCCAAAAAGATCGTAAAAATCTACAGCACAACTAATCTAATCATCACAGTCAAGATTATAAAATTGTTTCATTGAACTTTAGGTTTCAAATACCAAAATCAAGGCCTAGAATGACTTAATCTCGAGAATCAAACCGAAACATTAGGAATCCGTACTCAGAACTCAATTACCAAAATAAAGACTTCAAAGTTTCCAATCAAAAGCACCAACAAAAGAAGTGAAAATAACTTTATTACACATAAAAATTATCAAATAAATTCCATGCCACTGCCCATGATAATCATTTATATGTTATGTGTAACTAATTGATAATTTATTCTCGTCGATTACGATACATCACATGCTGCTCCGATTAGAACAATATCATTTTTCATCAATGTATGATGACTGAAAATATGAGCAGCAATAAACCACGTAGAGTAGATAATTACGTAAATTTGATTACGTGATGATTTTAATACGTAATAAAGTTCTGCGTAATGAATGATAATCGCACAATTTTGTTCGTTCGTTCGTCTGATAATTTTTTTTTCAAAATTTCCAAAAAAACAAATGCTCATAAAAATATAAATTCAAATTCTACGAAGCACTGCTGCATAGAATATATTTTTTTTTCAAAGAACTGCTGCATCATGTGCGTTGTTGCCAAACTTTATTTTCTGTTCGTCCTGCATGATTTCCTTTCATTGATAATGAATATTTATGCATTTCGGGGTAGACAATAAATAAAAACAACAACAAAGTAAGGCATCATGCGGCATTTGTCTCAGCAGATTTAAAACAAAGGAAATTTTAAAAATTGAGTTAACTTTTTTGTTATCAAAAATTAACGAAACTAATGAAAATAATTCTCACATATCAACGGTATGTATAAGTATAATGAATACATGACCAGTTTGTGAATTATGATATGAAAACTGAGTATGATAATGAAATTGTATAGTCTTATGTATGAAATTTCACACGAAATGAGTTATGTATTTAAAAAAAATACCAATACCAATTATTATTGTTAGTCAGTCCCACAATGCCTGAAT